CAGCTCGGGGGGGGGGGGAAGGGGGGGGGGGAGAAGGGAGCTATCTCCCACCCCCTCATGGATGGCTGACCAGGAGCAGACCTGGTTCCTGGCCAGGCATCTACGTGAGTGGTGCTGTTACTAATGCCAAGTAAATTTGCTACTTGCATTTGCAAGTAGCAAATTTACTCAGGATTAGGGACATTTACTGTAAAGTAAGCGTGTGCATGTGTAGACCCATGTGCTTACTTCACAGTAAATTACGCTAATTCATCATTAAGTGTCTCATGTAGATGCGCCTCCTGTCTCTTAAAATCAAAGTGTGTATTACATAAGAGGGTACAGTATATGTGAGTACTTTGTTGGATCAGAATAAGGTCCTTTTGGTGCTTATAGGTAAGTATGTGTTGAAGTGCTTTGCTGAACTGGAACCTAAATACCAGGAAGATAAACCTACTGTGCTGTGGGTTTCCAGCAGATGTAAGTATGTTGGACAGTCTTTTGTTGTAACACAGCTCCTCTGGATCCCAAATCTCTGGGCACTAAATAGTAATAGAGGACTCCTGCAAATGGTTTCATTTGATTTTAATTATTTTCAAGAATCAATAGAACAAACCCAAACCAGGTGCCAGAGCATTTACAAAGTGAGTTGGATACCTGAAATAGTACTGAGAATGAACCTTTTTTGTCTTACCTTCAAATGGAATTTTGCCAGTCGCAATTTCCCACAGCACAATCCCCAAGCTGAAACAAGACAGACAAATCTGCTAAGCACTGACAAAACTGCCTTGCCCTCTCTCCTACCCAGCCTCTGTCCAAGTTCTAATGAATGAGGTCAGGTAGTTTCCACTGCCCAGATCCTGGCAATTGTCCACTGCTGAAGGCTGCCACTTTACACCTCCCTTTCCTCTAAAGCAAGTGAACTCCTTACTCTTGAGTTCTTTAGCTATGGCACTGGGGATGGAAGGAAGAAGAATCAAACCTAAGACATCCAATACTCAGGTAATGTTTTCACTATCTCAGCTGTACTTGTGTTTCCTTCTGGCCTAGAAATAAGAGTCCCAGGCTCATTTCTGACCTGCTTTCCTAGAGCAGATCCATCTGATGTTCCAGCATCATTGGGCAACCTCCTATGATTATTCTGTGGAGATTATCTTTCATTAGCTTCAGCATATGATTTCTCTCTGTGCCCAATCCCTTGAGAAGGAGAACTTGGTGAGTTAAATATTCAAACTCTGCCATTTCTTATGTGGTATTAATATTTTGCATTTTTGTAGCCTCCTCTATACAAAAGGGATCTACAAACATTGATCAATCTCCCTGCTTCCCAAAAGTAGATAATTAACACTGTACCATTTTAATAGGTACCTAAGCTGAGGGACACAGAGATCACATTAGCACTTAGTCTATAGAAGAGATCGAGATTCCAGGTTTCCAGTCCTGTTCTCATCAAAAACTCACATAGGCAAGTCACCTGCAGAATCTTTCTAATAATCTGGCTTCTATAGATAATTCTACCTGCAGAAGAGCCACCACTCCAAAAGGCAAGGTGTTATGCCACAGCACGCCCTCTTGTGGTGTAGCATAACTGTGTAGAGTCCCTTCCCTACTCTCAAATGCCACATGGTTGTTGCAGTAAGTTATTCACAAACAAGAATACTATAAACAAGATCCCTCTGCGTAGGTCTCATTTATTAAATCTTTGGAACAGTCTTGTTTGGTCCTTCCATGACAAAGCCTTTCCTCATGGTTAAGAGATTCCATGCCCCTTGTGCCCAGAACTTAACTGAGATCAAGTAGGTTTCTCCAGTCTACACTTTCTTTAGGCTGTTTGTCCTCTTCATGGCAGTGGGTTTTTTTCTGACTCAGGGGAAGTGGATTAACACCATATTCCACAGCAGCCCCCTCAAACACCAGTTTCCTTAACAGGGCCACACCATGGAATGGGCTTGGCTGGGCCAGGTCCACCTGCTCCAGTCCTTAATGAGGCCAGATGACTGATGCAGAGACATACCTGTATATTTCACTGTGCAAGTCATAGATGTGGCTCAACGAGGCCAGGCCCTGAGGGGAGGTATAGGCCGAGGAAGAGACTTGTCTTGATTTCTTTTCTTTGTAGTTCCGTTTGATGGAGGACTCTGTTTTACATAACTCAAATCCTGACAGCTGAGTGAGGAAATTAGAGAAAAGGTAAATGGAGGAACAGCATGAACTCTATATGGAACAAGCAGCATGAAGATGACTGAGTCCTATTCTCAAAGTCACTGAACTGATTTTATTTGGGTTGTATGATAGCCCTTCCGCAGAATCCTTTCTGCTGCCCATGAGACCAAGTAAGACATAATGAGGACACTCTACGATGCCAATCTCCTGCTGAGTGCCATTCAGGGGGCCACATGTTCAAGTCCCTACCTCTATTTCTTAAAGGATGCAAAAATGGCTTCCTTGCTTCTATTGTGGAAGGCAGAAAAAGGAGAGAAGTAATGTTGCACAGTGCACAATAGTGCCCCCTCCTGGCTGATCAGTGAAACAGGATCAGTCTTGTCTAGACCTTGAATGGATATTATATGGACATACTATGAGTTCTTGAATTACAGAATCATAGAGAAGCAGGGCTGAAAGAAACCTCACAAGATCATCTAGTCCAACCCCCTACTCAAGCAGGATTATCCCAATCCAAGCCATCCCATCCAAGTGTTTGTATAACATATTCCTAGAACTACAAACAAGCATGTTGCACAACTACAAGGCATATTTTTCCAAAATACGAAGAACATGCTAACCTGCCTCAGGTAGAGCAGGGGAATGAAGGCATTGTGCATGTCCCATGCTGTAAGGACAGTTAAAATATGCTTAAGAGCTCCAAGGAAGAGTACTAGGCCCCCTACTACAGAGGAAGGCAAAGCTTCCCATAGTCCATGCCAATCTGACTGTGAGATGAAATTCTTTTCTGGTCTCAAAAATGGCGATAACTCTGACTCTAAGTGGAGGGGCAAGATCCTTGTAATTGGCCATGCCATTCACCAGAATGTCTGGTGTGTACCGGTTTATCAGATGTTGCTGTTGTCCACAGGAAAGATGGTCAGTTATTGAGTCGGATTCCAGAGGGTCCTCAGTGGTTCTCGCCTACCATGTCTTTGCTGGACTAAATGTATTTAGTAGGGAGGAAGATATATGTTCCGTACCTCCTGGTCCCCTCCTTCGATCCTCCCATCAGTCTTCCCATTTCGGGGCTCCGCCTCCCCTACACCCCACCTAATGCCAACCAATGATGTTGAATCCCCGTCTTCTGGGTTTGGTCATGGTGTTGGTACAAGTGTCTTGGCTGTTTGAAACTGTATAAATATGTACAGACGTCAGTTTGCCTCACTCAGCTTTTGCCTCAGTGGGCCTGACCTTGTCTCCTCCAAACCCTAGGTTACCTTGACTCCTGGTGTCAGTTCCATTTTCCTTAGTCTGTCATTGCTGTGGCATGGACAGCTGTCTCTCCATCTCTCCGCAGGTTACTGGTGAACCCAATCCGTTCGAGAGACAACAGGAATCATGGCTTTGCCTCAGGCAAGTAATACTGCCTTTCTGGGCTTGAAAAATCTCCAGAAACCCCCTCTCAGGGCTGCCACCACTTTCCCTCAGTGGGGCACGGCTCTGCTGTGGGTTGTTGGGTGCCTGCAAGGGAGCCCACTTCCGGTCCCCCGGGCTTCCCGTCCTGCAGGGTTTTTATCCCCTGTTCTGTGGGCTGGCCAATGAATCAGCACCAGCACGTGGCCATAAAGCATGCCTATGCTGGCGTGGAAGCTGATCCTGGGTTCTCCCAGATCAGCTGTTTTTTGAGGGGGTTTTTCTTCTGATGCAGCACTCTCTCCGGCCACAGCTCCATGCCCGCTGCTTCCTCGGCTCAGCATGGCCTTGTGCCAGCTCCGCTCATGTTCTCCTCCAGGTAAGTTCCTTTCTGGGGTTCTATTTTTGTCACAACCCTCTTACCAGAAGCCTCTGAGTTTCAGTCTCAGAAGGATCATTGGCACACCCCAGTCTTGGCTTCAGTCTTGGCTGCAGCCAGCCATACAATGCTTCTGACAATGCCAGAAAATACCTGTGACAGCTATAGCAACAGGAAGGGGCGAAATCCTTCCCAGCTTCATGTAACAGCCAGCAAAATTCAGAACTATGGAAAAACCAAATAGACTCCACTCTACTCTGCAATCTGGGGATAGCAAACAACTCCACACATCACACTCCCTAACTGGTGAGCCAAAACTCCCCTTTCTATAATCCTTTCCCCTCCATAAACTTATTCAGGCTCTTTTAATTTTCCTTGTAACTGAGCTGGTTGCGGGCCTCTGTTTCATTCTCTTGGTCCTTCCAATTTTCACCTGCTCTGGACCTACTTTGGCAACTTCAAGCCATTGCTACACATCCTAATCTGCAGCAATAGAGAAAAGGTGTTCTCCCTCTTCTTTATGGTACCCTGTAATAGGTAAGGCACCTGGCATTACTCTGATGCCTCCTAGTGGCCATCTCAGTCCTGCCTGGTTCTTGCTCTTGCCTCCTGGGATCTTGCCCTGCTTCCTCACCTACCATGCTTTGTTGTTACTTGTAATGAGCGGAGGCTGGTGAGTCTATGATGTTCTTTTTTCACCCTTGGAGGCTTGTGAGTCTACAATGGTCTCTTTTCTTTCTCCCTGTGGTCATTTCCTTAGATCCTATTTGCCACAAGGGCTGAATCTGTGGCCTCCTTCTGCCCCTACAGCCAGGCCCATGCCTTGCAGGTGCTACCAGTTATTACTCATCATGAGGCACCTTGCCTCAGTACACTCTCTGGTCTCCTCAGGCCTTCAAGCTTTTGTCAGGGTCTTCAGCTTTCTGGTTTCTGCCCCCTTTTTTTTAGCTGGGCTCTTTTAGCTGAGGCCCATGGCACTGGGTCCTATCTTATGAGCTCCAGCCCAACTCAGATTCTGGGACAATGGCCCTGCTTTCACCCCTCTCTGGCATACATCCTTTCCTGGCAGGGTTCTAAGCTTGGCTGTGCCCAGCCAACACCCCACTATGGTCTCCTCATTCACCCCCTATATAGTCACTCCAGTCTACCCGTCAACTCTAACAAAGGTAACCCACTGCTTTAACAAAAACCCCTTCCCACTCTGGGTAAACAGTACATCAAAAGCAAGTGAGCTATCACTTTAACAACAGTCTTCCCACTCCTTGTAAACAAGTATCAGAAGAAAGAAAAAGGCTGTTGAGCTGCTGCCCTCCTTGGATAGCTGCTTTCCCTGCCAGCCGCAGAGCTTCACTGCTAGTTCCAGCTTTGGGGCAGGGCTTATGTGTCTGGAGCCCCTCTCCCTTCCAATCCCTTGCTCTGTCCTCCCTTCTGCACAGAGGCTGTCAGTCAAAGAGCCAACTCCTGCTGCTTGGTCTGCTTAAAGTGGTAGGACCCTGGCTGGCACGGGTCATTTCAGCCAGAAATGACTGCTACAATCTCTGTGTTTCTTTCTCTGGAGTTATTGTCAGTTCTCCCTTTGCTGTCATCAGTCAGAGCTCCCCCTTGCTTTCACACAGGCATCGGGTACTCTGATTAAGACCTCCTCTCTCCTCACTCCTTTGGCTGAGTAACAGGGCTCAGGTCCCCTGTTACACAGCCCTTCAAATATTTAAAGATTGTTATCACTTCCCCTCTTACTCACTTTTTCCACAAGCTGAACATGCCTATTTCTTTCAACCTTGCTTCATTTGGCTTGCCTTCCAAGCCTTTTATCACTTAAAGGAGTCAGTGGGCATGTCTACATGTGCATTTACTGCGCAGTAAGTTACTGCACAGTAAGCAGCTTTTATGCTTGGCGTCCACACATTACAGCATAGTAATGCTGTGTGTGGACTGACTTGGAACTAAAGTAGATATGCACCCATACCGTGCAGTAATTTTTGGTTACTGTGCAGTAGCCTAAGTTACTGCACAGTAACGGTGCATGTGTAGACATGCCTGGTATGTATAGGAGTAAGGAGGTGAGGGTGAGGATCCTTCAGGATGCAGAGAAAATTGATACATCCCTGGAAAAAGGGGTTAAGGTACTCTACCTGCCTGACATCCCTGTGTTTTGCACTAGTTCAGCATTTCCAAACATTATTCACACCACTAAGCTCTGTCTATTAACTGTTTTTCCTACTGAGCCTATTTGGACTGGGCTTTCCTACTGGGCTTTGTTGTCAGGGATGATGGATACTAGATGGCTTCTCACTCTGTTTAAAATCCCATGTTGTTATTAAAAACCTGTATCAACACTCCCTTCTGCTTGTTTTCCTTCTTACCTTATTTACGACAATATATAATTTACTGTGTATTATCCCTGTACAAGCAGTCACATTTATGCATGGCAACAAACAACAGCTGATAGAAATACACTCACTGAAACAAATATGTGGAAATGTGGGATTTTAAAGATAGGAACCTATATCCATTTTTAGACAACTAAGTCTAAGTTTGGAACAAGGACCACTTTTGGGTTTCATGTTTGTACAGCACATAATACAGTGGGATCCTGAGGCCCACTCGTTATGGTAATACAGTAGAACCTGGATCCTTCACAGGATTAGGTACATAAACAGTGTTATCTCTCTCCATCCCCATCAAAGATGAGAGTTTACAAAGTAACCAGGCATATAAACAGCTGCAGGAGGCTGCTGAGGTGCTCTAGCGTTTTTTCTGAAACATTCACTTTCTGATTAGTTGTCAGACCACTGAAGAGCTTCAGCTGATTGGAGAAGTGGTGCCCTGCCTTTGACATAAAAGCTACCACAAACAGCTGAGTTTTTATTTTGGCAACCTGCTATTTATCGAGTGGGTTACAAACCACCCATTTGTGAATGATTCAGGTTCTATTGTACAAATTATTAGCAGTAATAAGCAATAAGACACTGGTCTGATTTTCAAAGACACACACCAGATATTCCTCCCAAAGCCACAGGAAATCCTTATAGTAAGAGATGGAGCAGTATATTTTCAGTACAAGATTGTACATACATCAAATTTGGGGGTTGTGTAAAACAGACAATTTAATGTAAATAAATAAATAAATAACAAAAGACACTCTTCTGGATGACCATCCTGGGACAGGATGTGGCATGAAGGCTTGAACAGGACAGTGCTATGTAAATGCGCAGCTCCTGTTACATAATGTACATGTGCAAATGCACACTGTTTCTGTAGGTAACAATGAAACAGTGGGTCCCTGAGTAGTTACTCTGGAGATCATGATATCCTTCTGCAGGGGAAGGAGTAGAATTCCAGGAAAGACTTCAACCAATGTCAAATCTGTCAGAATTTTTTCACAAGAGAACGCTTACCTTCACACGGTAACCTTCGGCAACAAAGAACTTGGTGCTACTGATACATCCATGCAATCTAGGCTTCACCTCTGTGTGATGCAACCTACAGAAAATATTGTTAATGGACACATCTCTGCATTTCCACTCTCTCCTCCAATCCTGAACAACTGCAAACATGGATAGCTGAGGAACAAGACTTCTACCACCAGGCTTCAGGCCAGATTTGTAAGCAAAAGACATCTTCAGAATATCAGAGAGTCTGGGCATCATCATTCACACACCCATCTTCATTTCTATGCCGGAGACTGTGTGTACGTTGAAGGTGATTGCAACTTGATTGCCCACATGCCAGTCACCTTTACTTGTCTGTACAGGTTTTCCTTGCTTTATACGGGTTCTGTATGTGCAAATTCACTCTTATGTGATCGGTGTGGTGGAAACCCTCAGTCAGCTGCTTTGTGCAGTGCCTTGTGGGAGTGATGCACACCAAAGTATAGTTTCCTGTATGGATCTGTGCTCCTCACTCGTTGTCTGTGACATGTATTTCTGTAGTTGCCATCCCCATTATGATAGTGCCCTGTGCTTGTGTGTACTCTGTTGTTAGTCAGTACCAAAACTGTCTTGTAAAAGTGATAGAAATGGGTCTGGGAGTCAGTACAGTTGAGGTCTTGGAACGTATCCCTATTTGTTACATTGTAAAGTGGGTCCCCTTTATGCGAATTTGAGTTATGCACCATGTTCCAGGAACGCATGTACAGCATAAAGTGAGGGAAACCTGTATATAAGACCAATTTAGGCATGTGTTGGCACACTGTTAAATGAATTCACCTTTTTTTTGTCATGTTTAGTACCTGTAGACACCTCTGGCTACGTCCAGTGCCATCTGAATGCGATCATCCCAGGAGAGCTCAGGGTTTTTTGTTAAGACATCTCTCAAGGTCCCATATCTACAATACTCCATAACAATAGAGAAATGAGGTCTTGACTCTGATCAAAACAAAAGTACAGTGAATAGTTACCTTTGGTGATAGCTCTCATGAGACACAGCTCACATACTTAATTCATTAGCCATTAAAAATCCTGGGTTAAGAAATTTCTCCCTGTAACTTACCCAACACACAATTCTGTACAAGTTAGAGTAGGTATTAACAAATTAAGCCAACTCTTCCCTGGGGAGGATGTGATATTTTATCAAGTCATTTGTGACAACTCTGAGGAGGTAAGAGTCCCCTTTTCACTATTTTCAAATTAGAAATAGTATAGTCAAAATAAATATAAAAAGATTTCACTAGATCACTTGACCCTTTTGAGCAATTGTCAAATGTGGACTCAAGAGAAAAAGGGTTAATTTATAAAATATGTGCAAATTTATTAGAAAAAGGGGTGGGTAGGAAGACTCAAGAAAGAAATCTGGGGAAAGAAATTGAGATGGAGCAAGGGAGAGAAATATTGAAACAGAGTTTTTTCTGTTTCAATTTTCTGTTTCAATAGACAACACTAAACTATGGAGGAAGGCGGTCACACTGGAGAATAGGCTGGGGATACAGGCTGACCTGCACAGGCTCACAAGGTGGACAGACCAAAAGCTGATGGCATTTAATGCATAGAAATGCAAGGTGCTCCACCTTGGGAGGAAGAACCAGCATCATACTTATAGGCTCAGCAGTGCTACTCTCGCTAGCACCATGACCAAAAGAGACTTGGGGGTCTTGATTGACCACAAGATGAACATGAGCCAGCAAAGTGATGCCGTAGCTGGCAAAACAAACCAAACTCTGGCATGCATCCACTGATGCATCTCAAATGTCATACTCCCATTCTACTCGGCATTAGTAAGGCCACAGCTAGAGTACTGTGTTCAGTTTTGGGCCCCACACTTCAGGAGGGATGTAGATAAGCTTGTGAGAGTCCAGAGGAGAGCCACCCACAAGATCAAAGGCCAAGAGAGCAAGCCTTATGAGGAGAGGCATGGGACTCTTCAGCCGAGAGAAGAGAAAACTCAGGGGGGACTTAGTGGCAACCTGTAAGTATATAAGGAGGGTGTACCAGGGCCTGGGAGAACAGTTGTTCACCAGGGCTCCCCAAGGGTTAACAAGGTCGAATGGCCACAAACTTCTGGAAGGCCAGTTTAGACTGGACATAAGGAAAACCTCCTTTACAGTCCGAGTGTCCAGGGTCTGGAACAGACTCCCCCCAAAGGTGGTGCAAGCGTCTACTCTGGACTCATTTAAAAGGCCTTTGGATATATATCTTGCCAGGATCATTTGACCGCAGCAGACTTCCTGCCTATGGCAGGGGGCTGGACTCGATGATCTTGCAAGGTCCCTTTCAGCCCTATGAAATAAATTAAATCTTCTGCATGTGTCTCTGTGACTGAAAGCCTGGAGACTGCTATCACTTTAAGGAGAAAGAACTCTGCCATTAGGGCCTTGGGCAGCTAAATAGAGGCGAGCTGTGAGAGGGCAGCTAGCCAGGAATCAATGCCACCAAAGGAGTGGGAGAACTTGCAGCCAGGAGGCCAGATAGCCATTGAGGATCTGGCTGCCAGCAAACAATAACAGCAAGCTGCAGGCAGGGACCAGCCCTGGGAGGGCAACTCACTCATGGACTGGAAGCAGAGCAGTGAACTGCACCAGGGCAGACACGGAAGCAGCCTAGAAGCAAAGGGCTGCAGACTGCTGATGTAAGCCCTAGCTGGGAAAGCAGGCAGGTCAGCAGACACAGAAAAGGTACACCTGTGAGAGGCTGCAGGGCCATATGACCAGATGGGTAAGGCATAGGAGGCACAAATCGGACCTAGACAGGTTACAGGGGTGGGCGGATGAGAA